GGAAGGGAAGGGAAGGGAAGGGAAGGGAAGGGAAGGGAAGGGAAGGACAGGAGAGAAGAAATAATGAAAAACCAAATTTCAAACATTTCCTTTCCTCCTTTAAAGCTATGAATTAAACTAAGAATTATCACCCTTGTTGAAACTGTACTTCCGATTGGATTTGAAACTGTCTCATTGCTATCTGTTTATCAATAAAACTTTGAAAAATAAATAAATAAATAAATAAATAAAAGAATTATCACCCTAAGGAGGCTAGAAAGTAATGATGATTTCTCTAGGTAATAAACAGAGCAGTGTCTAATCCAACAAGCATCGTGATAATGAGAAAAAATCTCCTGGAGAATGTGAAAAAATACTGCTTCACCTCCTACCCTTACTTAACAACCACCCAGCACTGCCAGCTTTCCCACATTCCCATTGCTCAATGATTCACTCATGCAGTGAGTGTTCCGGAAGCTTACTGGCTATAGGGAGGCCTAAGCCTCGTCCCTGGGTTCTCACTAAGCATTTTCCATGTGTCAGTTTCTCTAAGTGCGAGAGAGATGCAGGCAAGAAAGAAATGAAGTTGCCGATTTCAGTGAGCTCAAAACTAGGTTGGGCTCAGAGACACAAAATCGCTGCAGGCTACATTTACTGATGAGATCTGAGCTTTACAAACCATGAACCAAATTCTTTCGAACTAAATTCACCTCCAGCAGATCGCGCTGGTATGTGGGAATGCCTCCTGATTTCCTAATAACATAGCGTTCTTCTCACTTTGCCCACGTCAGCTTAGTGTTGTATTAATCTTTAGAGCTCCGTGTTCTTATGTATACAGTCCTCCATATTTTATACAGAATCCTATCCTATTATCCTGGATTTGGTACTTTTATTCGGTATTGTTCTTCTGTAACTCACCTCCAATTATGTACAAAAGATATTGTGGGTGGGAAAGGAACTGTTCAAAAGGTGAGAAAAACTGGAATGGGGAAAAGGAGAAAAGAAGGAGGAAAATAAATATAAATATAAA